GCGTGGCTCCGAATACCGCGTGCCGGATGAGTCTTAGCTGTGGTCGCTCATTACGCAGCTTTAACGGAAGCGATAGCGGACGAGAAAAGGAGAAAGAGAGAGAGAGAGAGAGAGAGAGAGAGAGAGAGAGAGACTAGCCGGACTAAGGCGGCATCGGATGACCGGTAGCGACGCAGTTGACTCGTGGAGCTTTTAATCTCGAAAATCTTTAGGACCTTCGAACGACCAAAGGAAAACTTTCGCAGCCCGTTCGGTACTCAGGACCGGCCGAACGACCGCGCTTCCATTCGCTTTTCCTTCTTCTCTTTGCCCAGCTACTTCCGCAAACATCACTCGCAAATCTCTATATAGTGCAAAGAGAGCATTGCCACTCGAACTTCTCGTATTTACCAACGAATTAGGGATCTGTAATCTGCCGCGAAAAAATTGGTTGCAAATATAGAAAAAAGGCAAACTGGAAAAAAAATATCGTTGCGTTAAAAACGGACTATGTTCCGTCATTCACTGCGAGTACTGAAAATCTATAGTATACGTAATGTGAACTATAGATTTTCAGTATTCGAAGTGAATAATAGCAGCCATGTATACTTTATTTATTACATTAATAATTTTTATGATGTTTATACCTAATTAATTACATGTTAACATTGATAATGACTCGATCGGAGTCGAAACGTTTGTTTTTGTAGCGCTATTCACTTGTAACTTCTATGTTGATATATATCATTAATGCTGAATTTATTGTATTTGGCTCGTAGCCTTTTTCAACATAATTTCTTTTAATTTTTATTAAATACATTAGGTTCAAAAGATTGTTTAAGCGGTCAATAATAAAGATTAAAAATAGACCCATTTATCTTAGATGAAAACTATTTGGTATCTTCGGAGACATAGTTTATAATACAATAGGACATAGTCATACGGAGTTTCGTACAACTTCATTATATGCGCACATGTACGACGGGTTACATGTCAAATATGCGAGCAAATTGGATTAGCAGATCGGTTTGAGAAGCCCGTCGAAATTAATATCCGTTCCGTTAGTTACCAGAGATCCGATACGAAGGGCTTAGAATGCATGATCGCTTCGTGGTGTAGACGCCTGCCCGCAAGTACAGATTAGATCAATGCGATGTGTTGTGCTTGAATACAGTGTATGCTGTGTACATGTATCGAGTCTTAGTGCAGCATATTCGTGACGTTATCAATCAACGCGATGACGAATCTTGTAAATGCGAGTTTCAATGCGTGCCTTAACTTTAAACAGTCATCGATATTTCAAATGACAAGAAATGTTTGAGAAATCCGAGTATCTTATCGCGAATGTAGCTTTGAAAACGATCATATAACGACTATGCGTCAATGATGGAGGTTCGCAGTAATGCGTTCGCGTGCTTATTCCGCACATATTTCACACGAGAATTTACGTCACGCTCTAAACATCGCGCAAAATAAGATTAGACACATTCGTTTCACAGAAACTCGTAACAATTGTCAGTTTTCCTTCAGCATTCGCGGAACGCATGGCGACGAAATTAGCCGACGATAACTCCGAAACAAGTGTCGACGAGCGCTACCAGTTGCGGGTACGCCGCGTTTCACGAAACCCCAAAACTTCGTGCCAAATATTCGCACGAACGCGAAACCGGCATTCCGCATACACATGCGTACATCTCACCAGAAGAGCGATGCACCACAGGGACAATAACCGCGCCATTGTAATGAAAATTCCGCCATTGGCGCGACAGGAAAACAGACCGACAAAGTCCGGCCGCAAATCCTCCAAAAAGTTTCCCGAGAAAATGCTACGCTCGTAGAGAACTCTCCGAAACGCGTAGGTTACTTGCGTAAGCGTGTGTGTACGTGTGCGTTCGCGTGAACGTGTGTGCTGTACATGATGCGCTCGTAAGCAACGTGTCTCCCCAGCATGCGGTCTCCTGCTTATACGTAACACACGCAAGAACCGGCACGCACCGGCGATACTCTCCAACACTCGGCTTCCATAGCCCAACCAGCTAGCAAGGCAGTCAGCGAACCAGCCAACCAAGCCAACCAAGCGGGCAACCGACCGACCAACCGACCATTCCACATTCCATTCGATGGTTCTCTCTCTCTCTCTCTCTCCCGACACCATAATGAAGTCAGCCCGGCGTTCTAAGCCCCGGTAATATCGCGTGACAGGGCACTTCCCGAGATAATATTGGTGATGTATGCTAACGGGCATTTCGTTGCCCGGAGTACGTTTTTACGTTTTTACGTTCCACTCGTACCATCCGTTCTCTTAAACGATTTAGCACGAAGCGAGAAAAGAGATCGGATAAAGAGGAGGTCAGCATCCCCCAAGAAAAACGCCGGGGAATTTAATCCCTCGTGTATATCGCGGAGGAAAGTGTTTTTCGTACGTATGACAAACGAGCCGTAAACCATCAATGGTTTTGTTAATTTTTACCTGACGAAGATCAATATCTTAATTAAATCAATCGAGATAACGAAGAATAATTAAAATTTACACTTTGCGAATTATTTGAGGAAATTAATGTCATTAGTAAAACTCGTGATTTTGAAAAAGATGAGTGAAGTTCCCTATGATTAATTTCGCATGAAGTCTACCTGTATCAAATACGCTAATTGTATTTCATTAAACATAGGTGCGAACGATTGAGTTTACTCGTTCGCACAATTTGTATTGCAAATGGCTGGTCGGTGCGACGAAACGTTCCCGGAAGTCACAATATTTAATTTAGAGGATTGCAAATTAATCACGATCAATATCCTGATATAAAAGTTGCACATGACAATCGCCCATCGGTTGTCGCGATTGAAACATGTTACAATCATTGTTATAAATAAAAAAAATAAATGGCAAAAAGTGCAAATGAAATGTACTCCGTTGTGAGATAAAATTTCAACAAATGTTTACATTATTAATTATTACCTGTTTTACATTCGAAATACCATAATAACGTGTGAAACTATTCCCTAAAAGTGAATTAGTGTATTATTACTTCAGTGCTACACTTATAACTGTAATCATCAGCGAATATTTACTGTTTTTCAGTAATAATACACTGATTCACTTTTAGAGAATACTTTTATGCTCCACGTATCTCTTCCGGCATCAATATTAACTGTGACAAACATTGCGTAATTTATTCTGCGGATTACAACTATCATGGCGTATTATCCTCCAAAACGTGTGTGGGCGTGAGACATTGTGTAAAACCCGCTTCTATCATCGGACGATAACATTCGATGAGAAAACGAAAAGTCACGATACCACGTGGCACCGCTATCGCTACGCTCTTCACCTACCGTAACTAAAACGAGCTAGGCTTGATTCACGCAAATCTTGCTACGAAAATATTGGTTCGTGCTCATTGACCATAGGTATCTACCAATAACCACACAACGATCGTACGGTCATTGAAAAAAAACAATCGTCGGTTAGTGACCGACGCACTTTTTACGACATGTCACTAATCATTCATAATAGGATCATCATTTAGGATCATATCTGACCTTTGTGATGCCTGAGGTGAGAACGTCCGCAGCACGGTTGCTCGAAATATGCGTGTCCGGGATGGGCACCGGCGGGCCTGCTGGCCACGCTGGGACCCAAAAGTTGTCCCAGGACAGCTGCGAGAACAGCTGCCCTAACCATCGTTGTCATGGCGTCCGGTAGTAACCTCTGCCTCTGCATGGTCACGAGAAAAATAAAAACACTTTTCTCACACTATCCTTCACGTTCCTCCTTTCTTTCTCTCACTCTTTCGCTCGATCTGTCGAGATACGATCCTCACGGTCTGATCTACCTTCGCCAATTTCGGAGCATTTCGCGCACGATAGCTGTCACTCCGGCACGTCTGATCCGGCCCTTGACGAAGCTTACAAAGGACCGCGTGGGCCGCGATGCCCTGGCCTTGAGTAGAAGGAGGTAGAAACTCCGGCTGCAGCGTGGTTGTTGCCCTTTGCCGCTGGCAACGACAACGACGACCGTTCACCGGCGTGTAAAGCGTCTCTCTTCCTCTCTCTTTCTCTCTTTCTCGGTTTACTCGTCGTCCTTGTCTTATTCCCGCGGCAGGTACACTCCAAGATAGAAACTCGACCGCGTGTTGCTCTGTTCAGTTCACTCTCTCTTTTTCTCTCTTCTTCTCTTTCAGCTTCTCTCCTTGTTTCTTCTTTTTCTTCCGCACTGCTTCAAAGGACAAAGGAATTCTCTGTCCTACGCTTTTTACTCCTCGCATACAATTCGGTGCCCTTAATAAGTCGCAGGTAAGTCTTTAGAACGATAAACGATTTTCGTTGATGACGCAAATGTAGGTTTTTTTACAAGATTTATTTTATTTTTCTGTGAACATCCAATATTATCTACGAGTTGGCCATTTAAATGGTTTTTATCTCATGTCAATAGTATCCGAGATATACATTTGTCATGCGTATTCTAATTATTGTTATTGTTACGTTTCTTGACGAGGAGCACAACACTGCGGATATCCGAATCGGCTATAAGTTACCAACTGAGAAAATCTTGGTTAACTAAATATAAAGAACGAGACGCATACGATGGTCACATCTGTTGCGCGGAGTCGACGGAGCTGCGAACTCGGAGTCTACGGAGATGACGTTCCCTATCGCGCGTACATCCTCGCGGTGTCGGAGAGCAGTTGCAGACGCGACGCGTTGGCGATACACGTCCGTGCATCCGTCACAACATGATCGAGCAGTTAATTAAGCGCTGGATCGCCGAAGACAAAAGGACGCGCGTCGCGAAACTCGTCGACCGGACTGGGTTTACTGAGCGACGACGACTGCATAGACCTCCCTCATTGGAGGCCGCGGCACGACTGTTACCCTCTGACGCGCGTTGCCGCGTTCAGTTGTGCTCGGCGTCGTTCGGTCGTCGTCGGCTCCACTCGGCCGAAGCTGCTCCAAAGTCGTGCTGCACGACTCCTATGATCCATCCACTGCCGGCCGTTCTCTTCACAATCCGCGTTATGTACTTGCTCTCGCCGCGAAGAGGCGAGGAAGCGCGTCAGCCCTCGATATTTCTCGCAACCCTGGCGCGCCACCCGATCTTTTATGGCGACTATGAAAAATTTTTAGGCCGCGCGACAGAGCAGGACCCGGCGGAAGAAAGATGCTCCAAGTCGGACTTTACGGCACTTTCGTGGCGGCACCGTCTGAATTATGAAGAAGCTCTGCCCTTTTTCCTTTTTTTCTTTTTTTCGAAACGTCAAACGAAACGCACCGTCTTACTTACCGTACCTTTCGACAAAGCCGATAAGCTCCTTCGATTCACGGCAAATCTTCCGGCGGGTTTCTCTCGCGATTATCAAACTCCTTGCTCCGCTTATCAACGAATGCAGAATATATTAATAAAAAATATATTAAAATCGTAACATTCTGTATAAAAGAAAATGTGATATAAAATTATCGTCCGTATATTCGAAATGATAAAATTAATTATTATTAATTTATGCTTTCTCTGAGAGATAAATATTTTAAATATTTAAGATGAATGAAAAAACTTGGCTTTGATAAATTAATTTCAAGACGTATCCACTTACTTTCTTAATCTCAGATTCTACAAGTGTTATAGGTAAACTCACTTTACAAAAAAATGTAATAAATATTTAAAGGGATAGAAATTTATGATAGAAAATTGAGAAAATGTAAAAAGATTATATTCATATGAAACTTAAAAATATTATAAAAGAATTAATAATTTAGCCTTGATATATATATATATACGTAATGCATTTCGGTTTGATAGTTGACGCAAACGAACGCTAATTGAAGTAAAACGGTTAACATGATTATGCCAACTAAATCATTTGGTTAGCGAAAATTCCGTTAGCGGTCTACTGAGTGTATGCAAATGTAATTACGATGCGAAAGCGAAATCTTGTTATTCTAGGTGACTATTCATATTATTTGTACGAAGTGAACGAGATGAAGAACGCTAGACGTGATTATGTCAAATTATCGTTTTTCCTTTAGCATCTATTTTCAACATCAGATCTTTCATTATGAAATGTATATGCGCGACAAACAAGTGTTAGGGTAATTCCGGTATATACGCCGCACCTAACAAAAATTTAATTTATTAAGTATTATTTACTATTTTTGAAGTGACTATATCAGTAATACTATATCAGGGAAAATAGAAACTATATCAGTAAAAACATTGTACTGTCTACTACTATGAAAAAAATATTAGAAATCCCAAATATACTTATTTTTCGTATTAAAAAAAAGAACTTTTTGAAACCCTTGCATTTTTGCCGTATATCTCATAGGGGTGGGATATATGGCTACTCATAGGGGGACGGGGGTATGTACTGCTCATGACAAATTTACAAATAATGCTTATAAGACGTAAAATGACACAATAACTTATAAAATATGTTTACACACACACAAAGTTTCATTAAGAAATAAGAATAAGAAATATGTGTATGAAGTAATAGATAATAATTACAATCTTCCTACATATGTTATTACATGAGATACATATTTCATGTAATGCGTTTATTACATTTAGTGCACTGAATCCAATCTATGCACTTTGTATGCTTTGGGTATAAATCCCGCCCGCTAAAAATGCCGTATATCCCAAACAGATGGAATATACAAGACAACAAACTAAACAAAGAATATAAGAGCAAAGCACTTATATTTTGTTACAACATGTTTTACTATTCCTCTACACTTATGTATCACGAAATAACCACTTTTTTACGCACCCTACAGTAATCATTTTATATAAATTATGATTTATGATGGCGCTACTTATTACAGTGACAAATCGACTCACAATACTTTCATTAATCTTAACAGTAAGAAACTGAAATCGTAACACAATACTAATATAATATAAAGGAATGTAATAGAGTAGTTGCGGGAAAATTATTCCCACTCCTTCTATTTTTTCTAACTTCTGCGGCGTAAATTCTAGCGCGGCGTATTTGCCGGAGTTACCCTAAATTTCGTTCCCTGTCTTGAATTAAACGAAACTGGAAAAAAATAATCACGCCGCATGATCAAAATTCACTTTACAGCTGCACTGTATCGCTCCGCCATCCGCGTTACAAAATCAATTCACATAGACATGACGTAGAGAATTTCTGAGGGGTTGAGATACACGTTCGACGCCGCCAATGTTCGCTACATCACGCGTACCGATGCAAGCTCGAAGGATGCCGCGAGAACGAAGTCAAGCGGGGTATATGAATAAGTCGATATGCTAATGCGAAAATCCTGCGAAGTTAGCTCAGCCCAGGCTGAGCTGCAAAGAAAGTTGCGCAGCATCCAGGCCACAATACAAAGTGTCTCTTGGTAATGCGGAAGGAGAGACAATTTTGTACCCCTCCATAGACACAGCGGGTACCGGGTATTACGACTTTAGTGAGTACAGGCCACTTTCCTTTGTTGCTTACGGGACGAGGCTATAGTGGAGGTGCAGTCTACGGCGCGGCGGTAAGGGAAGTCGTAAGAATTTTAGAACAAAGAGAAAACCGGTCGGGGGGAGCCATAGTAGAAGCCACGGCTTTTCTTAGCATTCTCTCTCTTTACCTCTCTTGTGATACGAGAGGGTCGGTCGGTCGGGTGCTGCGATCAACAAATGTACCGGCCGCTCTATTCCATTTCATTGAAATAGTTTAGAATTGCATGAGGCTACTTGGTCGTCTTCTCTTGTCGCTGTGCCGCTTCTTACGGCTACCTTTATACTTCGCCGCAAGTTCATCTGAGGCGCCGCCTTTTCGGGACGCGTAAAAGAGCGGTGAGAGCGGGCAAATCGCCGGAAAAACCGTAAACTGCATTTCGCCGGTACCGTTCAACGTTTGAGAGATAGAGCGTTGGTGCACACGACACGAGCAGGCGCGCATGTGTCTATAAAAATCGCGTCTGTCGCGAAACACTCGAAGGTAAGAACTGTTCCACGGTGAATACGCTAAAGAAACTGCGAGATGTCTGATGCGTTTTATGGAAAATTCTATAGAACGTAAGTTCTGTGATAAATGTCTGTTCGCTTGCGATATCGGAATTGCACATTCCTCTCATCTAAAAGTAACAATTCGATAAAAACTGTCATATGTCTAATAAGATAACATAAAAAGGGAGATATTTCAGAATAGAGTTGAGGAGGAATATTCTATTTTCATAATGGAAAATCATGTCTTTACATTAGAAAACGATCAGTCATGCAACTCGATGTTACGCCGTCCTTCGTTAGTTCTACTTCAATAATGGCAAGCGTCTGAACCGTTATAAGATGCGAGTGATGAGACGGTTTCAGCGCGAATGATATTAAATATTCAAAGACGTCAAATCGAGTCCACATTATCCTCTTATTCCACGGAGGCGCTTCGCGCGCCTTTGAAGCTCCCACGCCTCGTTGCACCCGAATCGACGGATCCCTTTTTCGTACGAACGAATCGAAAATATTTGTCGCCACGAGGATCAACAAAATCCGTGTCCTCAGTCGAGTGTTGCTCCACATGTCTCGCGATTCTGTACGGACTTCTTGCCTTTTCATTTTCATAGTCATTCTTTCATCCTCACTCTCGTGAGAAAACACGGCACAAGTACACAAACTCAAATTACTTTCAATATATAAGATAAACAAAAATATCGAAAATCGATAAGTTACGTTGCGTGTGGAAGATCTAATTTTACATAAATTTTATGGCAAGAATACTCGTGACAAATAACGATATATTAAACTTTCACGCTTACGAAATAATTGCCACAATTATCGTCTAATACGTGTCGGCGGCTGAGAGGCATCGTTCAACCATATTGCACGCAAAGCCCCAAATAGCGCCGTAATTACCCAGCTGTCTCATTCTTATTATTCAGTGTTTCCTTCCGCCGAAAGACAGCGGCGGTATCCCCGTATAATCGAGACTCGCATACAATCTTACAACCTTGACTCGTTCCTTATAATCATTTCTTCCTTCTTCGGTGTGCCCTTCTCCGCCTCTATGTCGGTCGAAAGGTGCGTCCGTAGAAGAGCAATCTGTTAAATTATACTTAATATCTATGCGGCACGGTTCTCACTTATCCCTCATCCAAAACACACGGTATGCATCGAGATCTCATCATCTCGTTTAAGGGGAATGAAACTCACAGCCCGTCGCCTTGCCCATATGGGATCCGACTAACATCTCACTTAGCTGTAAAAATCCGTATGTTCCTTTGTTCCACAAAATCCGTTTAACTACAGCTTTATCCCGTATAAAATAGCGAGCGGAGACGTCAAAGAAAAATGTTGAATTTACAAAAGCTACGCTACGCGTATGACTCTGCTGATTTCACTTCGAAAAGAGGTATTAAATTTCGATTTAAATGAATTTCCGAGTCATATGATTTAAAAGAATATCGAGTAAAAGATTTTATATATTGTATATGGGGTGTCCATGAACTGATAATGTAACCGGGAAGAGAATGAGTCTATATGAAAAATAAGTCGAAATCATAAAATAAAATTTTTTAATATGAGGTTTTTGTTTTCGAGAAAATCGATTTTAAATATTCATCGAATACGTGCGTACTTAATTATTTCTCGATTTAATGGATCTCACTATAGACTATTATCTCTCCTCACGTTTGTGTTTATTATTGTATTAGGTAATCGAAAATACACAATAAAAACAGGATATTTATGGACGATAAATCTTGTTACTTAATAAATTGTTGAAAATGTTGCCGATTCTGTCGAATATATGCAATTCTGTTCTTTAAAGTAAATTTCTGTAAACTTTTTAACATGTTCTGATTCTCTCTCTCTCTCTCTCTCTCTCTCTTTAATTTATTAATTAAATTCGTA